ATCTGGCCCTAGGAGATAAACTGCACACAGCAGCAGTGACACTAGACCCAGAGTTGTTCTTTTCAGCTACAGACTCAGCCCATCCTCTGGAGGCAGCAGGCAGTGAGGGGATGGAGTGTGGCATCTCCTCCTAGTGTCCATCTCCCTGTCCCCCGAGACACTGCGAAGATCCCCTCTGCCCTCGTGTGTCAGGGGCACCCTGTGAGCACACCAGCCCTTGCAATGGCAACTAGGATTCCTTCCTCAAAGCCAATGGCTGACGCACGTTGTGTTTCCTACAGCTGTGGGGGAGAAAGAGAACGCTTTGCCATGTGTGAATGTGTGACATTCGCAGATCTGCTCACATACCAGCTCCAGTTTAAAGCTGGTTCTGACATAGATGAGAAACTGTCAGAGAAAACCAAAGTGCTAAAGCGATTTGTCTGTGATTCAGTGAATGAAAAAGCATTTTATCTGAGGAAACAATGATCCTTGCCTTGACATGGTGTGAAGAGACCTGTTTTGCTGGCAAAGTCTCGTTCTGAGATAGAAACTCAAGGCTCCACTGTTTCCAACAATCAGTGTTGATTAGAACGTGGGTTGCAAAGACAGGAACTCGAGTCCTCGAGCCCTTTTGATCACGCTTTATTTTGATCAATGTTTTTTTGTCTTTCTCAATTTCCATGACAACTCTCACTGACAAATGCATTCTTCACTGTGTTGGCAAAAATGGCCACGCAGCACAGGTTGATGTGTTGTACCCATCTGCCGAGGCGATGTACCATACCTGCTTTCCCTCCTGCTGCTTGGAAACACTGATAGGTATTGTTGGTCCAAGTTTCTTGGAAGATTTCACAGCAGAGGTATTGAAAAGCAATTAATATTCACAGGAAGATTACTGATTGAGATAGCTTTCACTGCACGGGCTTTTAAATAGCAGCATCTCTTATTAATACCATCACTCCTAATGCAGGCAATTAAAATTGTTGACTAATGAAAATTTTGGTGTTAATTTATGTAACACAGACTTTATCCTTGCAATTAGAGCTTGCTTGATGCTGCAGCGTGTTGTTCAGGGGGAGGGAGCCTATCATCCCTGATTATGTCTGTCATTTAGAAAGAAGAAAGCAATTTTTCACAGTCTCCCTTGTTAACATCAACCAGGAGACTTCTCGAAGCAACAGCAGCCAAAGTTCTGAAGTGATATTTTAAGTAAGTCACTTCCAAAGCTGACAGTGTTTAAGATGTTCTGTATAGGCACTTGCACTGAGGAATCCGCTGAATTCAATGTTTGCTACCGTAATGTGTTCAGCAATGAGAGGTGCATCAAATATATTTACTGCTGCAAGGGCAAGGTTTTTGCAGGTCAGGATCCATGGGTTTGTTCCTGTGAATTTCAGTTCCTCGAGTTCTGTGCTCTGGTTTCTGGCGTCCCACAGAAAGCAGGGTATGGCACTGGATGTGGAGCAAGTTCTGTCGCTGCCGTTTCTCCATGTTAGTGCTGATCTATACATGGAAACATCCATTGAACTGCTGCTTGGCTCACACTCCTTCATGGCATTCTTAGGATCCCTGAGAGTTTGGCATGGAGAGGGTCAGTACCAGATTGAGTCAGTCCATGCTGTAGCTCTCAAGTGGTATTGCAAGCACTCTGCTCTTATCTGCGCCTTCTGTGGAGCTGTCGTTGGAATGATGATTTCAAGTAAGGCTTGACCTGGCACAGCAGCTTTATAGTAATATCTTCAAGTACTTTTCTCCCTATAGCTCTAATTCTGGTCCTAGAGCACATGGCCTGTGGGGAAAGGTGAAGGGATTTCTCCAGCTGTGAGGTGACAGAGCCACACACTCCATGTTATTGACAGTGAATGTCATAAGGATCAACTGTGATAAACTGAAGGTAGGGAGGTTCAGCATATATAAACATACATAAACCCCTAAAATCTTCTTTACCAGAGGGACAGTGCAGCTCTACAACAGCCACCCAGAGAGGCTTAGAATGAAGCACTCCCATTTCAGCATTTCAGTAGACAAAGCCATGGCTGACCTGCTCCAGTACTGGCTGTAGTCCCAGTCCAAGCATGAGGTTGGACTAGACACCTCCAGAGGTTTCTTCCAAGCATTGCTCCTGTGATGCTGTGAGGGTATATTTAACAAATGTTCTGGGTCAGTGGTACCTACTGGGAACAGCTTGACAAACTCTTTCTCTCTGTCATCTACAGGCATCCCCACTGCTAAAAACATGAACTCATTTGTTCTAAGAAGCCCCTTTTTCTGACACCTTCTTTCCCTTTGTTCACTCTCTGCATTGAAGTTCAGTCCATCAGAAAGAACAAAGTTTTCCTCTTCTTGTGTTCTCACTGGGAAGCCTTTCCAGTGGGAAAGTGTGGCTCTCCTCCAGTTTTTAGGGCACAGTGGCCATCAGTGTCTTCTGCCTCATTTGCACCAGCACCGTATCCAAGGCAGTCCCTCAGCACTACTGCCAGGGCTCTTGCATGACTCTCAGAGCCCTGTGGCAAGTGTGGATTCTGCAGTTGATCTGACCAAGATGTCACAGCAGCATTTCTCAAGGTGCTCCCTCAGTTGCTCTGCACAGTGAAGCTGTGAGGGATGTGAGCTGGAGCATCGATGCTGCAGAACACCACTGCCCATCAAGAAGCTTCTGCGCTCTGAGTGTGCCCTTCTGTTTCTATAGAAAACAGCTCATTCACTCTCTTTTATACTTCACTTGTCTTTTCCACTTCATGTTCAACTGCTGACAGCTTCAGATTATGCAAAACGCTCTGAAGATGTTGGTTTCAGTGAGAATTTTGCTCGACATCCAGAAGAACCTTGCAAGCTGTGCCATACGCTTTGCACTGCTTGTAAGGGAGATGATTTGGGTTCTTTACTTCTCTGCATAACGTGCATGGTCGCCACGTTCTAGCTACAAAATGTAGCTACATTTTCTTTGTCATTATAGTTTATTTACTGCCTTGCTCAGCTGTTCTTTGGGGCATTCTTCAGCTACCTGTTTTCTGCCACAGACTTGTAGCACCAAGAAGTTAATCTCCATGTGCACTTAGCAAGTATAGATCATAGAATCATAGAATAGTTCGGGTTGGAAAAGACCTCACGATCATCCAGTTCCAACCCCCTGCCATGGGCAGGGACACCTCACACTAAACCATGGCACCCAAGGCTCTGTCCAACCTGGCCTTGAACACTGCCAGGGATGGAGCATTCACAACTTCCCTGGGCAACCCATTCCAGTGCCTCAGCACCCTTACAGTAAAGAACTTCCTCCTTATATCCAATCTAAACTTCCCCTGTTTAAGTTTTAACCCGTTACCCCTTGTCCTGTCACTACAGTCCCTAATGAAGAGTCCCTCCCCAGCATCCTTGTAGCCCTCTTCAGACACTGGAAGCTGCTCTGAGGTCTCCACACAGCTTCTCTTCCCCAGGCTGAACAGCCCCAACTTCCTCACCTTGTCTCCACACAGGAGGTGCTCCAGCCCCTGATCATCCTCGTGGCCTCCTCTGGACTTGTTCCAACAGTTCCATGTCCTTTTCATGCTGAGGACACCAGAACTCTGATTTGATTTTGGCAGTGGTGCAGGGTGATATCTGTGCTTGTCCAAGAAAAGATCCCACCCATTCACAGTTTGCACTGCTTGTGGAGATTTGTGGCTCCGTGGTCACCACAGCTGCATGGTGAATGCACAGTGCTGTGGTTGCACAACATGTGCACCAGGCTATGCAGGTACGGAGGAATACACCCAGGGAAACAGGGAGAGAAGAATAACTGCATGTGAAGAAAGATGAAGATCATTAATACTCCAACTATCCCTTAAAACCCCAGTTTTGGTGAGCGTGGTCAGAGTCTCTGTTGAGCTTTGGATCCTGAGCATCCTGTGGTTGTGATTTCTGCTGCACAGTTCTCTTTGTGTCTGTTGAAGCAGTACGAAGACTGTTCGCAGGCATGCAGCAACAGGAGTGCCAGTGATGTCTTCTGTCACACTTGGGCTCACCTTTCCCGGTTCCCATCCAAATCAGGCATTTCTGGATAACTGACAGTAGCAAATGCTTGTCGCCTGTGATCTTCCAGTTCTGGTTTCAAAACAGGAGAGCAGATTTCTGTTCTCTTTGGGTTATAGACAGGTTATTTGGCATTGTGGATGATGCCAAACTCTTTCATCCTTCTCTGGATTGTCACTCCCAAGCTCCCCTGTCCCAGTGGCTGCACTGCAGGGGTGAAGGCCTGGGTGCCACCAGTAGCTTCACAGGCTGGGCATGGGTGTTAAGGGCATTATGGAATGCTGTGTTAGGTGCAGCATGATTTTAGAGCTGGCGTTCTGTGGGTGGCCTTGAGACACTTGCCAGTTCAGACCTTCCACAAGTATGAAGCTGTTCTCAGTCCTACTTTCCTGTGGCCTGTGTTGGCTCCTGTTCACATGTGGATTCCTGTTCACAATGTGTGACAACAGAGTTGGGAAAGAGAATGGACAAAGTCTGATCCTGGTGGGTTTCTGACTGTGCTTTCCAGGCTCCAGCTATGACCCTCCTGATGCAGCAAAACAGGAGCAGTTGCTGGGGCTGTTCAGCCTGGAGAAGAGAAGCTGCGTGGAGACCTCAGAGCAGCTTCCAGTGTCTGAAGGGGGCTACAAGGATTCTGGAAAGGGACTCTTCATCAGGGACTGGAGCGATAGGACAAGGGGTGATGGGTTCAAACTGAAACAGGGGGAGTTCAGGTTGGAGATAAGGCAGAAGCTCTTCCCTGTGAGGGTGCTGAGGCGCTGGCACAGGGTGCCCAGAGAAGCTGTGGCTGCCCCATCCCTGGCAGTGTTCAAGGGCAGGTTGGACACAGGGGCTTGGAGCAAGCTGCTCTAGTGGAAGGTGTCCCTGCCTGTGGCAGGGGTTGGAGCTGGAGGAGCTTTAAGGTCCCTTCCAACCCAAACCATTCTTTGATTCTGTGATTAATGTCAAAAAGCAGTTCAGAAGCACCTAGGATTGTTCTTCTGAGACCTGTCCTTGTTTTTCTCCAGGCTCTCTCATCCATGGAGGAATTCAGAAACCTGGATCGGGATATTGAGGGATCTGCAAAACGGTGGAAGAAATTTGTTGAGTCTGAGTGTCCTGAAAAGGAGAAGTTCCCTCAGGAATGGAAGAACAAGTCAGCCCTGCAGCGCCTGTGTATCATGAGAGCCATCCGGCCCGATCGCATGACCTATGCTGTCAGGTACAGGCACTTCCCAACTCTCTTGGGAACGTTCTTGCTTAGGAAGCAGCTTTTGGTGGGTGTTTCTGAGGGCACAGCAGGAATTCAGAAATACATTTAGATTTAGTCATTGTAGAATGTGAGTTCTGCAGAATGGTTTCCTATAAGGGAGTCTGCTCAATGAGTCCCCTCTGAACTCTGCAAGACAGTCAACAGGAGTTTGCTTAGGGAGATCTAATCCCAGTATCACTAACAGCAGTGGAGTAGTAAAACTAGTATTGGGTGAGGAGCAGACATGCCAGATCAGAAATGGGCATCATCATACACACCTGCTAGAACCATCAGTATGACTCCTAGAGTTCATTAAGCTCTATTTTAGTTACTAAATCCTTTATGGCTCTTCTTTAGGCATAGGAATCAAATGTGGAAGTAAAGGAAAGCCTTAGAGAGGTTTTCTCTTTTTGCCTTTTTTTTTTCCCCTGTAAAATGCAAAATTTATGTGCTGCTACTTGTGAAAGTTGTAGTTGTGAATTATGGAGTGAAGGGAACCACATGAGCCTAAGCCCTATGGAGGTGCACAAAAGCAATATGCTTGTTCCAGGAGAAACTAAAGGTCTTTCACCCCATTAGGACTTGTTTTTAACTTCTCTTTCCTAGTAGTCTGTGGTTTGACATTTTTGCAATGTCTCTCCTGCTACTGCCTCTCAAATAGTTTATATTGCTCCAGCAACTGGTGTGTGCGTGTCTGTGGGTACATGCAGCAGAATGTATTACCCAGTGTATGAACTAGATTTCTGGTTTTGCTCTAATATCCACAGAGAAATGCAGCCAAAACAGAATGCCATCTCCCTTTGGTCACTGTTGTTCTGTTTTATTAAATGAAATACTGTATTCATGACAGTCATTAAATTCTAAGCCATCTTTGAAGTTCTTACTCTTTTAGGGTTAGATTCTCCATGTGTTCTGTCAGCTGAAAATACTGCTTTTCCTGTTGTTGTTTGGTTTGAGTAAAATAAGCTCTTGTCTTTCCGAACTTTTAAGTGCATAATTCACTGAAGCAAGTTAAACTCATTTCTTTCAATCAGAATGGTACTCACACAGCTCAAAAATAACTAGAACGCAAAGTTTCAGCACCTTTCATATTCCCCTGTTGTGAGAAGATAGCAGAATCCAGGTTCAAAAGCTTGGCTGGATATACAGTAAGAGTTCGCAGTGCCTTCCCTTGCAGGTGTTTGTGACTAAAGCTCTTCTGCCTTACCAATGATCAGTGGGCATCACTAGTATTCCTTTACCTTCCTGCCTCTCAGAGAGTCTTGACAAGTATGTTTTAGGAGTAACTTGGTAAGCTAAGCACAGGTGACCTGGGGTGTTTTACATGCCTTGGGATACCCCTACCTTGTTCAGCAAGGTGCAAGACCCTTTATGTCCCATGTCATATGTGCCAGCTCCATGAAGATGGTCTAGGAAGCTCTTTGGTACCTAAAATGACCCACACCTATACAGGATTCATGCATTTTGCTGGAGGACTGGAAGTTAGTTTTTTCAGCCACTCTAGGGATATCTGTACAGGCTGTTTTGTTCCATAGGCCTGAGGAGAAACCACTTACCCTGACTCCTTAGAGCCTAGGTGGGGGCAGGGCTTGTTATCCATCATAGAATCACAGAATCAAAGAATAGTTTGGGTTGGAAAGGACCTTAAGATCATCCAGTTCCAACCCCCTGCCATGGGCAGGGACACCTCACACCAAACCGTTTTTCCCAAGGCTCTGTCCAGCCTGGCCTTGAACACCGCCAGGGATGGAGCAAGGCCAGGTCAATCACCAAGAACCATAATTTCCTCACTAGGGTAAACACCCATTTCATCCTTCAGTCTTATAGAAGAACATCAGCAAGGATCTTCTTGCAACACCTTGTGCTCCTGGTGCTTCCTAATCCATGATGAGGTCAGATCAGTCCATTATCTACTAGCAAGGTATGACTTGGTGAAGGTGAAGTCATACCAAACAATGAGGAAGCTTTTCCTTTTGCAATCCCACAGGCGTTTCTATTCCAGTTGCCTTTCACTAGTCCTTGAAGGAGACTCTCAGCTCTCTTAGGATTTGACTGCAATAAGCTGTATCATCTACCAGGTGAAAAACGTTTTTCTTCCCCATGATAATGAGTTTTCCAAAAGGCCCAAATCATGCATCTGCACTAGAGGAGTAACTCATTCCCGGGCTTTGAATACAACATTCCTAGCTTTGGATCAATATTCACTGCATCCTCTTGTTCTAAAGCAGTGATTTTGGAAGCTCACCCCAGGGAAATTGAGCCTGGATGTTCTCCATGTGCTGTATTCTGTTCAGCAGCTGCTGTGGAGCTGAGCTTTTCCCTCTTCACTCAGTTGTATTTTGCCTTGTGCCTCTCATGCAGAGGCTAAGCTTCACGTGCCACATATCCTCAGAGCTCTTCCCTTTTATCTTTCCAGAACAAAGTCATTTTGAAAATCCTCTGCACTTGCTGCTACTTTTGGTGTTAAATCTGAAGGAGTGCTCTTTCCTCTCAAGGGCTCTGCGGAGTACAAAGTCTGTGGCAGTTTCTGTACCGTAACTTATTTCTTCTCTCCTGAAATACCTTTGTCAACATCAAGCTGGTATTTAACTTCTGAACGCAGCCTGGGCTGGTAGGCCCCATGCTTTCCCTTCTCCCTTCCTTTCATTTCTCAGATATCGGGGTGCCATGTGTCATTTTACCCCGGGAAGAAGTGCCAGGTGTTGCCAGTGAGTGCTAACTCCTGAAGCCCAGTCTGCCCATCCTCTCTGACCTTATTCCATGCCCGTTTAGTTTCTCTTTTGTTTGAATCAGCAAAATCAATAGTGATTAATGGGTTATTTGCAGGGGGATCTGTCCTTTCTGAACAACAGGAGACCGGCAACTGTTTTCTTTCTGGCAGAGATTTTGTGGAGGAGAAGCTTGGCAGTAAATACGTGGTAGGGAGATCCCTGGATTTTGCAACAACCTTTGAGGAATCGGGACCTGCGACGCCAGTGTTCTTCATCCTGTCCCCGGGAGTCGACCCACTGAAGGATGTGGAGAAACAAGGTAAACCAGTCGTGTCTGTAGGCATACCACAGCATTGCTTTTTATCTTCTGTGTAATTATCTTGGCATGACATTCTTCTGTTGTTATGGGTTATTTCTCTCATCTCTATACATAATGGAGTAATCTGTTAAAAATAGATAATTGTGACAGGATGTGATTGGGTTTTGGGGGTGTTTTTCTATGTTTTTCTTCAAGTTTTTTGGATTTTCATCTAAAGTTTAAATTAAATTTGTCTCTTCCCTGCGTTGCCTGAATTCCCAGTGTTTTTCACACTCAATGATTTCTGACTTGGCCTTATACACAGCCTATAATTTACATCAGAGATATATCATATGCTGTCAGATAGCTTGCTTTTTTGCCAAAACAGGTTAGACCAGATGACCCTTGAGGTCTCTTCCAACATGGTATTCTATGACTCTGTGATAGTTAAAAGTAAGCAACAGTCTGCTGGTTAGTAGCAGAGTTTCCAGTTTTTAATGGCATCCTTCTTGTGTTGGTTTTGGTGTGGATGCTCAGATGAAGTGCGGCTGGCTGGCTTCGGAGCCAAAGGTGCATCTTTAAGGTGCTTTATTTGAGAAGGCAGTGATTTCTGTTGTGCACTGACTGCTGTAGTCAGTGCTTGTGCTCTAAAGCTGCCAACTGCAGAGTTTGCTCTGGGTCTCAGCTCCACCATGAAAACTGCCATTTTCAGGCTCAATATGGCAATTACAGGAGGTCTGGAAATGGGGTTGCTTCTGACTGTTGAGCACAGGTAACTGTGGTCACTTCTTTCCAGACTCTGGCAGTGGAGGGGCTCCATCCCTCTGGATGCCTTTGGGTACTGCTTTAGGGCTGCTCCAGATTGCCAGGCTCATCAGATGTCTTTTCTCCTTCTCCAGCAATGCACCCTACTTATCTCCAAGACCATGCCTTGTAGTCAAGGCCAGATGCTCCCTGTAGCGTGGAGCATGATGTGTTTAAATTGCATTAATCATGTATCAGGCTGCCATAGGTTTTCAGTGTGCAGGTCTCCAGACCAAGCAGCGGGCAGCCTCAGCAGGTAAACCAGTAACATCAAACCAGGCCATCACTCAGGCGAGTGGGGGAGAAATGCTGCTCCCTGGATTTATTTTCTTCTCTGTGATGCACCTTTTGTGGCATCCCAAAATAACGCTTCAGTCCATCTTTACCCACGTTGCCACAAGCAGCTTCCAGAGACATTAAACCCCAGAGCAGCCTGAGCCACAGGCCAGATCCCATTTCTTAGCTGTGGGGAGATTCTGGGTACTTTGCATTCATGTTTCGTGCTCTTTCTGCCCTGACACCAGGTCTCATCATTGTGAATTGAAGGGGACTCCCCTGAGAAAGGTGCTCTCATGTGCCTGGCTTTCTTTTGGAGCCATGTCGGTCATCCCATCTCTCAATGTGTTATTTTCTTGAATGGGAAATGAAACACTACAATCCAACCAGGAATGGTTTAATTGGAGCTGTAAAGCTGAGTGTAGCTGTGAGCACCTGGGGTCAGTCAGCCAGAAAAGTGACAGCAAGTAAAAGTGAAAGAAGATCTAATGGAATAAAAGCATTGCTTCAGCGCAGCTGCTCTGTCCCTAACGCCTGCCGTGGTGGGGTTTGGGTTGAGTTCACTGGTGCATGTTTTCTTTGCCCTTCATTAGGTTTTATTGGTTTATTTCTGGCTAGATAATTCTGGTAAATGGAAGATGGCTTCTTCCAGATGCTGCCCACTCACGGGACCTTTCCGTGGCAACATGGGGAGGACCCTGCAGAAGCTCTTCCCTGTGAGGGTGCTGAGGCGCTGGCACAGGGTGCCCAGAGAAGCTGTGGCTGCCCCATCCCTGGCAGTGTTCAAGGGCAGGTTGGACACAGGGGCTTGGAGCAAGCTGCTCTAGTGGAAGGTGTCCCTGCCTGTGGCAGGGGTTGGAGCTGGAGGAGCTTTAAGGTCCCTTCCAACACAAACCAGGCTGGGATTCTATGAAACACTTTAGGGCTGGGAAAGCTTCCTGCTTCCCTGCGGCAGCGTGGCTGCACCATCCGCTCTCCTCTCCAAGCCAGTGAGGAAGGAAGAAGGCTGCATTGTCTTTGTTGAGGCAGCAGCACACACTCACTGTGCATCCCTCTGCAGGCCTGCTCCTATCACCTGTGAAGTGGAAATAACAACTGATACTAACATTACTATTAATCACCTGGTTTGGGGGAGCACTCTGCCTTCTGGAAGCATGTGCCATTCCTTCTGAGAGGGTGGGTCTTGAAGGCAGAGGAGATTAGCAGCTCTCAAGGTTGGCAGCCACCAGAGATGGTGAGAAAGAAAACTGGAAATGGTACAATATGGGGAGAGCTGTATCCCTGGGGGTTGCTGTAGTAAGGCTAAGTAGAGAGCTTGAGCAACTGGAAGAGTTTGGATGTTTGTTTTACTTGTGGCCATCTGTTTCCAATCTTGTACCAAGAGCTGAATCCCAAGTCTTGCAAGACAAATCTTTTCCTTGTTGTACTGTAACACTTGGCTGCTTCCAGCAGAAATCAGGAATCAAGGATGCACCATCTGCATGCAGGGAGAAGTGTAGGCAATCCCAAGGGATCAGCATGTGGGACGTGTGTGACTCCCTGGCTGAGCTGAACACATCCTACTATCCTGTGTGGATGTCGGTTGTTGGTTGGGCTGCTTCCCTCCGGCAGCACAAATTGGTGCTCATCTGAGGAGCGCTCAGCAGAGGTAGCTTGCTCCAGGCATTTGCTTCTCCTGTGAGACAAGTGGTGACTGGTGTCCCCCATCTCTGGGGGATAGATTCAGAAAAGTCAATGTGAGATCTTTAGCCACGATCACTTAAAGGATCTGAGGCACTGGGATGCAGATGTCCAGAGCAGGATCGGTGCTCCAGAGCAGGACAGTAAAATACGTGGGGTTTGGGAGCAGACCTGGGAGGCCTTGCTCGAGGCCACAGGAAGCTCACACTTCAGCTGCCTCCTCAAAACCTAGTGGGATCCGAACCCTACTGCTAGGTCTGGCGCGCACCGTGGGGTGCATCTCCCTGCAGAGCCGTGTCTTGTTCAAAGCCTATTTAATCAGCAGGAAATGATTTCATTTTCTACCAGTGTAAAATAGGTTTTTACACGGGGTTGCAGGGGAATAACACTGTTTAAACAGCAAGCACTTGGTGATAATGTACCTCTGGGTTGGGGCTGCTCTGTAATTAAAAGTAGTTTGGAAGAAGCAACTGCTGTTTTCAGTGCTTTGGCAAGGAGGAGACATGATACTATTATAAGAAGTGTGATAGATCTGTGGGGGTTTTTGACCCGACTGAACTCCTCGGAGCAGCTTCCAGTGTCTGAAGGGGGCTACAAGGATGCTGGAGGGGGACTCTTCATCAGGGACTGTAATGATAGGACATGGGGTGGTGGGTACAAAGTGAAACAGGGGAAGTTCAGGTCAGATCTAAGGCAGAAGCTCTTCCCTGTGAGGGTGCCCAGAGAAGCTGTGGCTGCCCCATCCCTGGCAGTGTTCAAGGGCAGGTTGGACACAGGGGCTTGGAGCAAGCTGCTCTAGTGGAAGGTGTCCCTGCCCGTGGCAGGGGTTGGGAGTGGGTGAGCTGTAAGGTTCTGTCCAACCCAAAGCATTCCATGATTTTATGAACTCTGTCTGACTCGTGCTGTGTGAGCTCAGCTGTGCTGTGTGCCAGTCCAGCTATAAGTACTGAATATCTCTCTTCTTCTTTGATTTTAGGGAAGAAACTCGGTTATACTTTTAACAACAGGAATTTCCACAACGTTTCCCTTGGACAAGGTCAAGAGGTCGTTGCTGAACAAGCTCTGGATCTGGCTGCAAAGGAGGGTCACTGGGTCATCCTTCAGGTACAGTGTCCTGAATCCGTCCCGCTGCTCTCCCAGGTTGCCTGGCGCTGATCGCCTTAGCAAGGCCAGGCTGTCGTTCCTGTCTGGTGGGCGGTGGGACAAGGGGTCGTCTGGGTGTCCAAAGCAGCCACCTTCTAACTGCTCCTTGCTGCTACCTATTGCTTTTATCAGGCATTGCCGTTTCGATTTTCTTGCTCTTTGACCCTTCTGAAGGGTGTGTAGCTGTGGAGAGTCATAGAATCATGGAACGGTTTGGGTTGGAAAGGACCTTAAGATCATCCAGTTCCAACTGCTGCCACCTGTCCCCTCTTCCACGATCATGAACCCCTGTTCCACCCCTGTCCCCTGCAGGGACACCTTCCACTAGAGCAGCTTGCTCCAAGCCCCTGTGTCCAACCTGGCCTTGAACACTGCCAGGGATGGGGCAGCCACAGCTTCTCTGGGCACCCTGTGCCAGCGCCTCAGCACCCTCACAGGGAAGAGCTTCTGCCTTAGATCCAACCTAAATCTCCCCTGTTTCAGTTTGAACCCATCACCCCTTGTCCTATCACTGCAGTGCTCTGAGGGAAGGTTGTGCTACATTCCAGTGTTTTTATTTGCTTTATGAATAAGTAGAGCTTTGGTAAGAGGTGTTAGGCTGTTTCTCTCACTACCACTCAAGACTACCCATGTATTTAAATGAGCAATGACAACATGCACACCACCGCAGGGAAAGCAGGGCTCTCTGCAGTGGTACCGATTCCTTCATGCTTCCCCAAACAGGTAAATAAATGTCTGAAGCTCTTATCACAACACAGCAAAATGTTTCAGAGCCTTTTAGGGTGCAAAGGGAGCTCTGTCAAGTGCTGTCTCCAGAGCCACTTACTCAGTGAGTGTTTGGGTTTGCTGATACGTAGAGTCAGGGATGCCAGCGCTCATTGCAGGTCTTAAAAACCCCTCTGTTTTCCTAGACGTGGATTTTACAAATGTTTGTTGTCACTGAATTGGTTGGATAAAATGAGATTAAGACAAAGCTTTGAGTCCTGATCTGAGCCTATGGGCTTGGGTTTGGATTTAAACTGAATGCCACTGATATTCTGATCTTAATTTTTGCTTCTTTTGCAAGCTGCCTCTAAGGTAGACAATGCTGAGCTTTACAAGAGCTTTGAATACAGATGGCTGCAATACTGGCATCTGCCTTTGAGGTGGTGACAAAGAAAACAGGCAGCTTTTTAAGACATATTCCATTTAGTAATGCAAAGTGAAGGCTCTTTTCTACAATGCTGGTTAGATCTGTAAATGATCTGCTAGCAGTGTCAGCTTCGATGTCTGTTGCTTCAGTGGCAGCAGATGAGTACTATGGCCTGAAGTGATTTTATTTCATCCATTCACATCTTCGTGTGAGGAGGGCTGATGCCAACCTTATGGAGTTTGACCATGCCAAGTGCAAGGTCCTGCACCTGGGTCAGAGCAATCCCAGGCACAGCTACAGGTTGGGCAGAGAAGAGATTCAGAGCAGCCCTGTGGAGAAGAACTTGGGGGTGTTGGTTGATGACAAAATGAACATGAGCCGGCTTCAGTGTGCGCTTGCAGCCCAGAAAGCAACCGTATCCTGGGCTGCATCAAAAGGAGCGTGACCAGCAGGTCGAAGGAGGTGATCCTGCCCCTCTGCTCTGCTCTTGTGAGACCTCACCTGGAGCATCGTGTGCAGTTCTGGTGTCCTCAACATGCAAAGGACATGGAACTGTTGGAGCAAGTCCAGAGGAGGCCACGAGGATGATCAGGGACTGGAGCACCTCCTGTATGAAGACAGGCTGAGGAAGTTGGGGCTGTTCAGCCTGGAGAAGAGAAGGCTGCGTGGAGACCTCAGAGCAGCTTCCAGTGTCTGAAGGGGGCCTATAGGGATGCTGGGGAAGGACTCTTCATTAGGGACTGTAGTGACAGGACAAGGGGTAACGGGCTAAAACTTAAACAGGGGAAGTTTAGATTGGATATAAGGAGGAAATTCTTTCCTGTGAGGGTGGTGAGGCACTGGAATGGGTTGCCCAGGGAGGTTGTGAATGCTCCATCCCTGGCAGTGTTCAAGGCCAGGCTGGACAGAGCCTTGGGTGTCATGGTTTGGTGTGAGGTGTCCCTGCCCATGCAGGGGGGTTGGAAGTGGATGATTTTAAGGTCCTTTCCAACCCAAACTATTCTATGATTCTATGTTTCCAGAGGTATGTCTGAATGAAGTGATGCAGGGAAAAGGGCAGACATTAAATACTCTGAATTTAATTGTAGTCTTCATCCGTTGGCCAAAATATCACTTCACTCTTTGTGATCAAGTGAATTTAATTCTTGAGCATCTTTCCATTTCCACAGGCTGTTGCTTCACTGAGTCAGGTTCATGTACCAAATGGAATAACAGGGATATCCCAGAGCAAAGCTGTGATTCAGGCATTGGTGGAGCCCTTCTTACTGCCTTGTAAATACAATGGAGCCCTTTTCCGTGTACTTCATCACTAGTCCTTGCTACAAGCAGCAGGCATACACTGTCCTGTATGAGATACATTGGCCATTCAAAGCACACATAAGCATTTGGCACTAAGCCTCTGCTTCAGCAAAGAACAAGTTAGTTTTCCTGCCAGCCACAGTATCTTTTCATCCTTAAATATATGTAAAAGGAGAAATACCCAGTCTTCCTCCAGTTCTTCTTCATGATTTTCAGACTAATACACTGATGGAGAAAGGCTTTGGATTTCAGAGAGCTGTCTTCCATCCTGCCTCATGTGACAGCCATTCCCAAGTTTTTCCAATAGCAAATCCAGTTACAGACCCGCAAGTAATCCAAATATTGATCTGGGATGGAATTAATTTTCTCTTGGGCTTTCAATACCTTTGTAACTGCTGCAATCCCAGTTTCGTTGTGCAACTGCTACAGAAACCTCTGTCTCAGGACTAATTTTGGGTTAAAACACAAATGCAATGGAATCTTTCCTCCATTTCTTGAGCTTAATCAAGACCGTGCCCTTTGCTGTGCATTTCAGCTGCTCATCACTACCTACCTTTAAATCGTTGTGTCTTACGAAGTGAAATTTGGCAATAGAAGCTCCAACGTTGTCTTTAAAACTCTGGGGAGCTCAGGTCAGTCCAGATTCTCTGTACTTCCTGCTCGTTTGCTCTCTGGCCTGCCAAATCCCAGAAGTTTCCCCTACCAGTAAAGGCTCCATTTAGGCTGAGGTCCAGATCTCTCAGACGTATGAGCAGGCGCTGGCAGTAGGATCTGTGCTTATCCATTTTGGTCCTGTGTCAGTATTTGCATGACCACAGGGCTACTGCCTGTGGAAGGATGGAGCTGTTCCTGACCGTGTGTGGCACCTTCTCATGGGATGGAACCTCACACTACCGTTGACAGTAAGCATGGCAAGGGAAGGGACCCTCTGCAGAGCCCCCTCTTTCATATCCTATCACAATGCATTGTGTATTAAGGTGCTGGGCTGTCTCTGGACTGTAAATCGTAGCTTTCGGACTTACTGTGAATGTGGTGACTATTTTCTGAGAGCATCTCACGAGAGAATGAGACTTTGTAAAAGCAACTCATTCTCATTGCTCCAGGAGGTGATCTGTGATAAGGCATGAAGGAGAGAGCCCCTTTCAGGAATGTGAAGGGTCTCCAGTTGCTCTCAGCAAAGGGAGCAAGCACATCGTGGAGTGTGTGCTGCTTTATATATACATGGTGCTATTTCTGATGGTTGCCATAGCAACACTTGCATCCTGTGATATATGTTCTGCCTTGTGAAGTACAAACACACAGAGGTGCTTACAAGTGAATTCCCAAAGGAAAGCATCTGGTCCCCCCCTGCCCAGGTTCCTTCATGTGCAGCCCAGCTCTTGCTGCAGATCTTCATCCTCTGGTACCTGCTCTCAGTCACTCGTGTGCCATAGCACAGAGTGGGGCAATGATACAGGGCAAAGTGCTGTGGCAGTGGGAAGTGTGCATGGGAAGATGTTTCAGGTGTCTTTGTCCCTTCTTGTCAGCAGGAGTTGGCCATCCATTCATAAAGCAAGGTAATGAATTGGAGACCTCTGCCTATTTCTGCCTGCAGCACAGACCTAGACATAAGCTGTGAAAACCCAGAGATGATGGGGAGTGGTCTTTTACCCTTGCAGAACAGCTCTTTAACAGACCAAAATCTGGCTAAGAGAAAAAAAACGGGATGAAACAACGAGTTACCTTGCTGCGTCCTGGGTAACTATGTCTTCAGGGATCTTACGGAACAAGAAGGAAGTAAAACTGGTGCAGTGTAAACTGTACAGTGGGGTTTAAGGAGCTAGTATTGGGAGTGCATGAAGCTCTGAGCCAAAAGAAGGTGGGCAGGCTGAACTATCTCCTCTTTCTCCTGAGTAAGATCTAGAGGTAACCCATGACACTGGTGGGAGGCAGGTTTCCAAACACGCAAGAGGAGGTGGTTCTTCGAGCAACATGTAGCTCAGCTGCGGTTGGTGTTACTGCAGCACTCTCTGTGTTATGTTGTTGTTGATAATTGACATATTCAAGTAGTGGGACCTCCTACGTTGTCATTAGTCACGTCCTGTCAAGTTGTGTTACCTGGCTGCAGAGAACTCATTTGCAAAGTTTCCTCCAAAGCTGTGAATCCCCTCCACAGCATCTGTCTGGTTACAGACACAGCCATTCGATGGAGTCAGGAATTCTCAGTGCCAACCCATGTTTTGCTCAATATACTGCTCTTTTCCATCCCTTCTATCACAAAAGGATTGTGTAGAAATGCACTCCATTATCATTAGATTAGAGATATGCCCTGAACTGGCTGTTAGAAGGCGGTGATACTGACAAATAATGATTGTTGGTGTCATGTCAGCAGCAGCAAAAGCAGTTATTTTTCAGCCACCTAACAACACAAAAGCAGATATAGGAAGAAACTACCAATTAAAGATGAAATGCTTAAGGTCAGGTATGGAGTCTATGATTACACAGATACTTAATGCACAGGTTTTCTTTTGCTGTTTTGTTGTGCTCTTCCCTTAAATTAGTAAATCTCTGTGGCTGTTCAAAGCTCTTTGGTTGCAGGTTTCGGTCCACTCCCACTTTATTATTACACTTGTGTTTTCAGAGTGAGTTGGTTGCCAGGACCCTCGTCTCATGAAATCCTAAATGCATCAGACAAGCACTGGTGCATCCGCAGTCAGATGTAATTGCATTTTGTCTACTGCCTTTCACAGAGTCATTGTTTACCACAAGGCAGCGCTTCCAAGAGCGCGGTTCCTTTGCTCAGGCATCTCCTCCTTGTCTCCCCCAAGCCCTCAGACTCCATGTCATCCCTGTAAAATGAGCACAAGCCTCACCCTTTCAGGGGAAGAGAATGAATTCATGCAGCTCTGAATAACCAGTGTTGTTCCCACCCACATGAATCAGATTTGGGGCAAGAGAGCGGGCGGATGCAAGGTGTCCATGGCTCCCCCAGATAACAGTTCTCTTGACCCATGTTTCTGAAGCAGCCGCTGTCTCAGGGATGGAGGCTTGGCCTCTGGCAGGAGTTGTCTGGTGATTTATGGACTGAGCTGAGCTCTTAGGCAGAAGCTCTTCCCTGGAAGGGTGCTGAGGCGCTGGCACAGGGTGCCCAGAGAAGCTGTGGCTGCCCCATCCCTGGCAGCGTTCAAGGGCAGGTTGGACACAGGGGCTTGGAGCAAGCTGCTCTAGTGGAAGGGGTCCCTGCCCGTGGCAGGGGTTGGAGCTGGATGGGCTTTAACCCAAGCCAGGCTGTGATTCTGTGGCAGTTACCAACCTGCTCTCGCTGGCTCTGCTTTGGGCAGGGTGATCTCCAGAGGTGTCTCCAGCCTCAGCGTTTCAGTGATCCCACCATTAACACAGGCTGCAACTGTGAGAGCTTTTCTAAGCTCTGCAGTGAATGTTCCTGCACATGAGCTATTCTGTGGTGGCTTTGCCTTTCCTGGGCATTTGCTGTAGGCTTTGGTTATCTTCTGGTTTTACAGATTCTTTAGTAGGTTTCTGACTTCTGGAACAGACTTTATTATTAGTTTTTATGGCTTTCAAAATATTGCTCCTTTAAACAACTTTTTGGCCTTACCATGACTGGATTTTGTGCTGTTTTTTATTTTCCTCATTTGGACACCCAATTCCACTTTCTGAAGAATGTTGTTTTACTCCTGATAGTCTCCATTACTCTTCAACCACGAAACCTCCTTTCTGCTCCCTTTAATGGATGATATATTCTGAGCTTCTGATCTGGTTCCTTTATGTCATTTCCTTGCACCTCTAAGCAGTTTATCTTTTTTGGTGGCTGCTTTTAATTGAAGGTTAGAAAATTCCTTGTCCTGCCTTTGGATGGGATAAATCCCCTTCCAGGGGGCCTGTTAGCACAGGATTGCCCACCTAACTTTAAACTGAAGGTACTTTTAGGCCACAGTCGCTGATGTGTGTGACCTGCCCCATTCTTAATACAAGAAACCATCCTCAAACTATTTTCTTGGCTGGAAACTAGAAGACTCTGTAGGACTTTAGGTTGAAAACTGAAGCTTGTCTTCCTCTGTTTCACCATCTCAGCATAACACTGCTTCATTTTCTAACAGATATGTATAATTAGTTGCATGAATAAAGAAGTGTTTTGTGTTAAAGGTCTTTGTAAACCCACCTGCTTGACTTTGTTTCTCAGTAACTGATATGGGGGGTCCTCATTTTTAGTCTGTTCCAAATGACCAAACATTTTTCATTTGAGTTTGGTAGATCTGGGGAAGTGACCCTAATTCATCAGCTGTGTATTACTCTTAACAAGGAGGAGACAGCCTGGGGAAGAGGGGCTGCATGGAGACCTCAGAGCAGCTTCCAGTGTCTAAAGGGGGCCATAACAATGCTGGAGGGGGACTCTTCATCAGGGACTGTAATGATAGGACAAGGGGTGACAGGTTTAAACTGAAACAGGGGAAGTTCAGGTTAGATCTAAGGCAGAAGCTCTTCCCTGTGAGGGTGCTGAGGCGCTGGCACAGGGTGCCCAGAGAAGCTGTGGCTGCCCCATCCCTGGCAGTGTTCAAGGCCAGGTTGGACACAGGGGCTTGGAGCAAGCTGCTCTAGTGGAAGGGGTCCCTGCCTGTGGCAGGGGGTTGGAACTGGATGAGCTTTAAGGTCCCTTCCAGTCCAAGCCATTCTATGAGTCTGTGATTACCCAAACAGCCCCACACTGGCTTGCTTCATTGCTGATGGTTTATACCGATATTTGAATTTAAAAGTGTACTTGATATAACTGGACATCTGGGGCTCTGAGTTGCACGCAGGCACTACTGGGACAAGTACCAAGTCCTACAGCATAGCCTTGGTGGATGCCATTTGTTGTTGTGATGGATTTGGTGCCTGCCCAGCATTGGTGTAAAGGGGAGCAACTGATGCAGCCTTGTCCCCTTCACCCCTGCAGAACATCCACCTGGTGGCCAAGTGGCTGAGTTCCCTGGAGAAGAAGCTGGAGCAGCACAGTGAGGGCAGCCACCAGGACTTCCGTGTCTTCATTAGCGCAGAGCCAGCACCTTCCTCTGAGAGCCACATCATTCCCCAGGGCATCCTGGAGAACTCCATCAAAATCACCAACGAGGCCCCAACCGGGATGCACGCAAACCTGCACAAAGCCCTCGACAACTTCAACCAGGTAGGACCGCAGCGCTGTTGACTGGAGGCAGGTAGGACTGGAGCTGCTGTGGTGCCCCAAGTAGAGTGTGATGTGTGGGAGCATTGCTTCTTTTGCAGTCCCTTTGCATCATGAGTCTCTGGATCCAACAGCCCCCTCCTCTCTTCTCCAGGAGCTGGGCACAGATCTCTTTCCAAGCACTGGTTTTCCCAAGTGAGGACTCAGGTGATCCTGAATGGCCTCTTTCTTGCAGAAGGTCACAGGATACCAGACTTCTGCCCAGTTTAATCATTTTCACACCATAGAAAAGCTATTTTGTTACAGAATCAAACTTCTGAATGCAGCATTTGGGAGACTTTTGTCACATTTCAGGTTAAACCTCGCTTTTACACCCTTTTGTTTAACCAGGGTTACAGGTTCAGAACTGCTGATGTGGTCACATCTCACAGCACTCTTCAGAGCAGGGTAGGGGATGTTGTGTGCTCAAAGGCCATTCATTCAGCTGAAAACCTTGCTGACATCTGAAGTGGTGCAAATTAGAGCTGAAATCTCCCTGCAGGGAGGACTGGCTTTGCCAGGCAAGGATGAAGTAGGCCACCTTGAGAATTGCTGGCCCACAAGCAGAATAGCCAACGGCAGGTTGCTCATTGCTTTTATTGCATGGTGACCACTTACACACACTCCTGTTACAGCAGGCACCATCTCCACTCCTTTTTGACTGAGCTGCAACAAAGTGCAGAGGACACAGAAGTAAAGTATGTGGAAATGATGGGAAATAATAGAATCCTAGACTGCTTTGTGTGGGAAGATTATCCAGTTCCAACCCCTGCCACGGGCAGGGACACCTTCCACTAGAGCAGCTTGCTCCAAGCCCCTGTGTCCAACCTGCCCTTGAACACTGCCAGGGATGGGGCAGCCACAGCTCCTCTGGGCACCCTGTGCCAGCGCCTCAGCACCCTCACAGGGAAGAGCTTCTGCCTTAGATCTAACCTGAACTTTCCCTGTTTCACTTTGAACCCATCACCCCATGTCCTATCACTCCAGTCCATGATGAAGAGTCCCTCTCCAGTATCCTTGTAGCCCCCTTCACACACTGGAAGCTGCTCTGAGGTCTCCACGCAGCTTCTCTTCTCCAGGCTGAACAGCCCCAACTTTCTCAGCCTGTCTTTGTATGAGAGCTGCTCCAGCCCCCATCCTCGTGGCCTCCTCTGGACTTGCTCCAACAGCTCCATGTCCTCTCATGCAAACCCTGTCTGGGAACAGTACATCCAGGATATCGTTGCTCTGACCTCCACAGCTCAGCAAGCGTCTGAATAAGGAGGGAGTAGCTACACCAACCCCTTCACCATCCCTCCGCAGGGACAGCCCATTTAAATCCATTCTGTTATTGTGACACAGACTACAAAGGGCACTTGCGTGACTTCCCTTCATTATCTCTCCTAAAAATCTCCAATGTTAGACCTGTAATCAGCTGAAGAACATAACAGAGCTCAGGGGATGGACTGAAAAGAGGGAATCCATTACTCTAAATTGTGCAAGATGTTCACTAACTGCATAAGACGATCAAGAACAGTCCCAAACCTCGGTTTTCCCCTCAATGAGACAGCGCTCTTTGCTCCCTTCGTTATCAGCCACCTGATGAAGAACGGGTTCCAGTATCTGCTGAGCACCTTTCTTATTTTAGAAACCATTCCTGGACTTCAAGGGGAGCTTGCCTGAATGAACGCTGAGTACGAATCCAGCTCAGTCTCATTTGGCCTCCCTCTTTAGTTGTGCATTTTTCCTCACTCACAAAGCAGAACAATATTCCCCGCACAGAATAATGGCCCTTCTTTGTAGCTTTCAGCTGAAAGCTAAATCTGAACATCCATTCTGCAGGAAGCAGGGAAATGAGGGGTGAAGGGGCCCCACCCACTCGCTCCAGGATTTCTGATAAGAGAGGTTTTATAAGGCCCCAGCAATTTAGAAAATGCTAATTACTGTCTGATTGAAAGGAGCAGGATGGAAGTGCTCCTGGGGGTGAAGGTTCTCCCCTCCCCTTGCTCTCCAGGACATTCCGTGGAGTTCAGGATGATGAATGACAGGAGATAAAAACGGAATAATCTTTCCTGACTAGTTGCATTAATCCTCGGGTGGTGCCTCCCCGCTTCACCTGCTCAGCACTTACCTCCTGCACTTGAGATCCCCTCCAAACCAGCATCTAAGTGCAAAATAGTGGTGACCTGTCCACATTTCTCTGCCCCATGGACCAGTGAGTGAGATCCATGGCAGGATGGGGTTAGTCTTGCCTGGGCTGATGACAAGAGGCTGCATGAACAGAAAGGAAAGCAATCCTGCAAGGTTTGCCCTTGCACATTCCCAAGGTGGAGAGGCCGTGGTAACTTCAGCACTAGTGATCCAAAAAGGCAGTCCGAGGAGTGAGGCTGCCTTCAGGCCCTTCTGGTTGCTCTAGGTTTAACAGCCAGGGTCTTAATAGAATCATAGAATAGTTAGGGTTGGAAAGGACCTTAAAATCATCCAGTTCCACACCACCTGCCATGCCCAGGGACACCTCACACTAAACCTTGTCACCCAAGGCTCTGTCCAACCTGGCCTTGAACACTGCCAGGGATGGAGCATTCACAACTTCCCTGGGCAACCCATTCCAGTGCCTCACCACCCTCACAGGAAAGAATTTCCTCCTTAGATCCAATCTAAACTTCCCCTGTTTCAGTTTTAACCCATTACCCCTTGTCCCATCACTACAGTCTCTAATGAAGAGTCCCTCTCCAGCATCCCTATGAGCCCCCTTCAGATACTGGAAGGCTGCTCCAAGGTCTCCACGCAGCCTTCTCTTCTCCAGGCTGAACGTGAGAGCTTGGCTGCTGAGGTGTGTGAATGAAGGTAATGATTGTTCCGGGCAGCAGGATGCAATGGTCTGTGTCTCTGGGAATGGGATCATCATAAATGTAAGCAGTTAGCTCTTGCCCTTCGTGTCATGTGGAAAGTGGGGTCGGCAGAAGCATGGCTATCTCCAGCAGTGAGACACGCTGGGCTCTGGCCTGTCCTGACACACAGGCTGTGTCCTGGGGAGCCACCATTGCTCGATCCATGTCCCCGTGTCCCACTGCTCCAGGTGCTCCTGCCCTGCAGCGCTTAGTGAGGCCACAGGGCAGGTTCTCATCGCTGTGTTACAATGACTGATATTGACCCAAACCCTCTGTGGCACCAGAAAAGAGTCTTTTCATGAACAGAAAAGAATATCATCACGAGGATGGTCACGGGCTGCAGCACCTCCCATACAAAGACAGGCTGAGAACATTGGGGCTGTTCAGCCTGGAGAAGAGAAGCTACGTGGAGACCTCAGAGCAGCTTCCAGTGTCTGAAGGGGGATACAAGGATGCTGGAGAGGGACTCTTCATCAGGGACTGTAGTGATAGGACAAGGGGTGATGGGTTCAAACTGAAACAGGAAGAAGGAAGCAGTTCTTCCCTGTGAGGGTGCTGAGGCGCTGGCACTGGGTGCCCAGAGAAGCTGTGGCTGCCCCATCCCTGGCAGTGTTCAAGGCCAGGTTGGACACAGGGGCTTGGAGCAAGCTGCTCTGGTGGAAGGTGCCCCTGCCCGTGGCAGGGGTTGGAGCTGGAGGAGCTTTAAGGTCCCTCCCAAACCAAGCCACTCTGTGATGGACTTCAGTTCTTCCAGGTACAGTACTCCTCGGCAGGAGCCTTGCTTAGGGCCATGGTCCCAGTTCCACTGATGGCACACTTGCCCTGTGTGGTGCCTCTCCATCTCTCTGGTGTGGGACGTAGGGCATGTGCAGGTGGTGGGGCACTGGGTGGGTGCACATGTCCTTCCTTTCATGGCTGTCAGTGTGTGTTCCTGTGCAAAGCCGCTTGGAATTGGGAAAGAAAATATTAATTTGTAAAATGTGCATCTGAATTTGCTGCTAAATTTGCAATGAAAAGCCACTGACTTGTGGATATTATGCAGAAATGAACAAATTGGGTAAATCACTTCACGCCTGTCCGAAGTCTGTTGCATTTAGGAGACTCTGAGAGCCACAGAGACTGCAGGCAGTGTGGATTCACACAGCCTGCCTCTTTGCTTGTATTGCAGGATACCCTGGAGATGTGCACCCGGGAACATGAGTTCAAGAGCATCCTCTTTGCTCTCTGCTATTTCCATGCTGTGGTGGCAGAAAGGCGCAAGTTTGGTCCCCAAGGCTGGAACCGGTCCTACCCCTTCAACACTGGAGACCTCACCATCTCTGTGAACGTGCTGTATAATTACCTGGAGGCCAGCTCAAAGGTGTGTGAACCAAAGGTGGGCTGGTTGGTGGCTTTTTAACCCTCAGCCATGGACTGGCTTGTGCTGAAACTCCTGGAAAGTCTCCTTAAATGCCATTTCCTTGGCATCTTTGGGTTCATAACTTCCCAGTTCAGTGTACCTTTGTGGTGAGAGGGGAAGCTTCAGTGCCCCCCATGTCTGTAGCAGCTTACACATCATAGCAAATAGTGCCTGTGGTCCTTATTAATTGAAAATCCACTGTGGTCTTTGGTTTAACAGAGCTGAGAATAAATTTGCATTTCAGTGGGAACCTGCACAAAATCTATGCTGTGATCCAGTTTTCCTTGGGCAGGATTTAACTACTACCTAATGCTTGTTTACTTAGGAAACTGGAATAGTGAAGTGGAAGCACTCACTGTGCAGATCAGGGCTCAGTGCTGTAGACTGCAGCTCAGCAACCCGGCTGGTGGAGCTCTGGCTCTCTGAACCTCCTTCACACCCTCCTGCTTCGTTCCTCAGGTCCCATATGATGATTTACGCTACCTCTTTGGTGAGATCATGTATGGAGGACACATTACAGATGACTGGGACAGGCGGCTCTGCAGAACCTATTTGGAAGAATTTATTAAGCCAGAAATGCTGGAGGGAGAACTCCTCCTAGCTCCAGGCTTCCCCCTCCCAGCAAACATGGACTATAATGGCTATCATCAGGTAAGCTCTTGGTTTTCTGCCACTATTTATACTCATGAATGTAACTACCTTATAATCTGTCTCAGGAGGCAGTGAATAGGACTGCAGTGTTTCAGCACATCTCCTGTTATTTCCCACTCTATTCTGTTTCTGTAGACATTTCAGCATTCCTGGATGAACCAAGTCTAATGGTAATTTGCTACTTCATCATGGGCTCATTCTGTTTGGGCATGAATAGAGTAACTGTATTGGTTCTTGAGACTTGAGTGGGGCTCCTGGAAAATTACATCCACATACTGTTTGCTATAATGGCCCTTTCGAGTTCCTTTTATCATCAGTTTTGATGTGAAACAGTGAAGGGTCTTGTTGCTCTGCTCACTGATCTCATCTGCTCCTTGTACACAAATGTGGTAGCAGAGATAAGCATATTTGGCTGGTTTTGTTCATTACTGGAAGCTAAATTCCCACAAGAGATACCAGGATATTGATGCACCGTGGGTAATTGCTAGAGAAGGTCCAGGCCTGAGATATGTGGCCAAGGCAAACTTTAGCAATTAGTATGTTTTCACAGCAGGAGCAGAAGCAGTTCTGTAAACAGCCATTCACTCCTTTCTCTCATCAGTGTGCTGGTGTTTCAGGCACAAGCAGAGTTACATCAGCCTGGGGTTACTTGCTCCCATAGGTGATAATTCCAGCGCTGTGAACTCTGCAAGCAGAATGCCCTTGATCTCTGCATCTAACCTGAACCTGGATTTCTCTGTACAGTACATAGACGATGCCTTGCCTCCAGAGTCTCCTTATCTGTATGGCCTCCATCCCAATGCTGAGATTGGCTTCCTTACCCAGACCTCAGAGAAGCTCTTCCGCACCATGCTGGAGATGCAGCCCCGGGACAGCAGCACGGGTGATGGAGGAGTGGTGACCAGGGAAGAAACGGTGAGAGTGGGCAAGCTGCTCCATTCTGATACCTGCCTCATTCATAAGTAGTGCTGTATAGCTCAGGTTTGTCTCACAACTGCTTATTATAATGTGTTCTGCCTTTGCTGGATACAAACCAGGTGTCTAAAACCACCTGACTCTAAGCATGCAGAACACCACCATGGTGGGATGTAATTGGAGTATTGTCAGTAATAGGACAGTGGCTTTTAATTACCCCCTGAACTGCGGTGCCTTCGTTATCATCTTGTGAAGATGTTGCAAATAAACCTTCTGTGGCCTCCACTGCCTCTGAGCCCCCAGTCCCTGTGCACCACGCTGTGCCTGGCATACCAATGGGCTTCCTGAGTGCTCTGTGTGCCATGTGTGATGTGCCACTGGAGCTCAACCCACCTATTGCTGCTGCCACCAGGTCCCATCAAGCTCCCAGGGGACTTGTAATACCTTATCTCCAGCTGAGCTCCTTTGCTGTGCCCAGGTACCAGGCTGATCCCAGCCCTTCCTCTCAAAGCTCACGGCTCATTAAAATCTGGCCCAAGATTTTAATGAAATCAGCCAACACTTGCTCAGGTTTTTCTTTCTGCTGTCTTAAGGTCCCAGCTCTGTTTCAAGCTTTGCAAAGTAATGAATAGCTATTAGAGAGCTTATCTGATGTCTGTGGCTTCACACGTGCTTCCTTTGGCTTGGTGTGGAGCTGGGGAACTGCCTTTGCTCTTTAAAGTGCTCAGTGCTTCAGATCGTACTGGAATTTGAGTTGAGGGGAATAACCCAGAGGTAGCAAAGCCAAAGGAGATGCTCAGGCATCAAATGTGACTTCCTCTTGTCCCCTTCCAGTCCTTTTGATGTTGAAGTACAATTAAACTCCTTGGCCAGAGAAGCAAGATTATCATTAAGTGATCCAGCAGTGGTGTCACAGGCATCCTCCAGTTGAGGCTTTCCATCCCCTACTTTGCCTGAGGTGGTTTTAGGGAGCTTGCAAGCCTCTTATTTTCCTGAGACTCTTCAAGTTCAGTTATTCCCACAGGATTCTGAGGCCACTTTACCAAGAACAAGCTGTATTTGTTGTGTAAAAAGCAGGGATTTGCAGAGGAATTTAGAATGAGAGGGTATTTCTATCCTGCCCCTGAGGTGCAGCTGAAGAGATGGTCCAGCTGAGCTTTACTTTTAGCCACCTCAGTGGTCAGTAACAGGCTGCTCATCATCACCTCTTTGTAACATCTGACATGAGTGAGGAGGGTTTGGAAGAGCACCAATGCCAGGAAGTTGAGTACAGAGCCCTTAATATGAATGTTGGTGGGCACGGTGATACCTACCCTGGGCTTTCTCTGCCACTGCCACCCTCACACCAGGTTTTGCCCATCACATCATAGAATTGTAACTGCATTAAGCATTCCTGAAAAATCCCCAAGGAGCAAAAGTCTGGCTTAGCTTCCGGCATGGAAGTAAAGGAGAGCATTATGTGAGAGGCTTCCACACCAAGCTGCCTACTGGTCCGTGAACACCTGACAGATACAACAGATCCCAGGAAGATCAGGGCTTCAGGCCTCGCTCTCAGCCAGAAAGGGTTTTGTTTGCTTTACTGATTTTCTCTGGCAATACATCCTATTGCATCGGAGCATTCCCTGTTCAGTATTTAGAGATATAAAGCACTGTTCCCAAAGCAAGCTCTGGTGGTGACCAGAAAACAATTCTGTTTCATTATGCTTTTCTTTCATGGCTCCATTAGTTCAGATTGCAAAATTCAGCTTAAAATTAAGTTTTCTATAATCACCTCTATTATTATACTGCAGAAAACCAGCTCATAAGCTCACTTGTCCTGAGGCTCAGCTGAGGCTCTACCCCCTTCCGTCTCCTTGCATTGAATCTGACTTTAGGAGAATCATAGAATAGTTTGGGTTGAAGGGACCTTAAAGCTCCTCCAGCTCCAACCCCTGCCACAGGCAGGGACACCTTCCACTAGAGCAGCTTGCTCCAAGCCCCTGTGTCCAACCTGGCCTTGAACACTGCCAGGGATGGGGCAGCCACAGCTTCTCTGGGCACCCTGTGCCAGCGCCTCAGCACCCTCACAGGGAAGAGCTTCTGCCCAAGATACAGCCTAAATCTCCCCTCCCTGCTTCTGTTTCCATTTGCGGGCTCGAGACCCAAGAAGAAAGGAGACTGCTGCATGTCACAGTGACATTTCTGAACCATCATTTTGAAAGCTTCTCATCTGACATTAACTTTTGTGAGCATTTGAATTTTAATAGGATGGGGCAGGCTCTTTGAAAGGTGCCATGTCCAGCGCCGCTGACACTGATGGTTTCAGAGGCACTGAGTGGCAGATGGAGTTTTCATACTGCATTCAGGCAGCTGTCAGCTGGGGAAGCTCAGTGGATCATTCACCAACATCCGTCTCTGTTTTCCCTTCGGCACACAGGTGAAAGCCCTTCTGGAAGAGATGTTAGAGAAACTGATGGATGAGTTTAACATTGCAGAACTGATGGCAAAGGTGGAGGAGAGGACACCGTACGCTGTGGTTGCCTTCCAGGAATGTGAGCGCATGAACATCCTCACCAGTGAAATAAAACGCTCTCTTAAGGAGCTGGACCTAGGGCTGAAGGTAAGAGCTTGGGATGCTTGAGGCTGCAGTGTTGTAAAACCTTGGTGGTTGATTGGAAGAGGTGCTCACACAATAAAAGGGGTCACACACGCTGTTGAGCACTGCCTGCAAAACCAACTTGACTCCGTGGGGAAGGGCTCACAGATGGATTTCAAATGACACATTGCCCACAGGCACTGGGAGAGGTTAAAGGTACACATAGCAACAGTGCTTTTTGGGAACAGAGACCAGGCACTTCTGTCCACCCCGTATTGTAGCACAGCAACAACAGGTTGCTCAGAATTTGAGATGTGGCCTATTTAAAAGTAAGCCAAAAAATCACAGCTTTTCACACAATGCCCAGGTACTGGGCAGGGGGGGACTCGTAACAAAAAGTTATTAAAGGCACAAACTGAGCTGAAATGAAAGAGTGATCATGTGTAAGGAGACAGAATGTCCAGAGCTGTAAGAGAGAAAGCCTAAAACCGAAAGAGTTTTGGAAGAGATACAACTCCCCTGGCTGGGGATGAGTTATTTGCTAATGGAGGGGGGTCACGAGCAGACCCTCCCTGTGGACACACTGTCCTTGATTCCTCCACCCCATAGTGCCTTCTCCATCCGCTCCAGGAAGGTGATGTCTCTGTGCCTTGGGGTGGTGGCTTTGGCTTATGGAGAACAGTGAGGAGCTGTGGGGCTGGCAGGAAACACACCAGGTAGATTTCTGGGTTCAACAAGATATGCAAGGGGGCTGTGCTTTAAGGCTTCCTCTGCTGGCAGGGGAACTCATCTGCTGAATTCCCTCCCGGGCAGTTGGTTGGACAAAATGGAAAAGGCTAAAAGACTGCCCATTAGGGGATAAAACAGCAAAGAGCAGGCTGCACTGCAAGTGAGTACCTGCCTAGCCAGCCCTGGTGCCCTGGAGCAACAATTCCCTTTCACCTTGTCATCCCAAAAGACTTCACAATAGCCAAGCGCATCCCTCAGAAAGGGCTAAGTTGAGGAGACTAATGCTACCTGGAGCTTCAGTGCTGCCCTGATGCCTTTCCCACATGATTTACATTCAATTGCTCCCTAGTGTGAGGCAGCAATTAAGGACATCAGTCGCTGGCCATTCTCTGCTCCATCATTTCCTGAATGACAGGTTCTTGTCCCATTTCATCAAAATGGGGAAATACACCACATATATTTCACCAAAAATACTTTGTATAGCATGAGAACCATCGCACTTGAAGGAACTGCAGTGACTCTGTATGACCCCGTTAGGAGAAAGAGCTGGCAGGTGAGCAGAGAGGACCTGGATGACAATCCCAACTCTCTCCTGAGACAGCTTTGAAGAGAGACCTTCAAAGGACATGTCTGCAGTGTGCATGCAGAGGTGGGAGGCTTGGCTCTGGGGTTTTAGGTAGCTGCAACTCTGCAGGGGTAGGACTTGACTGCCTCACGTTGTGCTCTACACTGATCCCAGCAGCCTGGTCCATGCGAGCTCAGACATTTCTGCATTGCATTTGCTGCTGATGCTTATTGTCTTGATTAAAGAGAGAGACATCATAAACACTTTGTGGTGGCCCAGTGTGTACAATTCATTTTAAAATGGGCTGATACTTATGTAGTCAATTATTCTAAACAGATTTCCTTTGTTTTCTAGCATAGTGGAATTGAAAATTCAGTTGCCTGAGACAGGTAAACAGAAGTGATTTAATGTTTCATCAAGGAGCACCAAACAAGATATGACTGTAACTTGGACAATGTATAGCAATTAGATTTAATGAGGAGGAGAAGAACAAGCTATTTAATATTGGTAGGGAGAATGAGTGGATGCATGGGCTTAAATAAACCTCAGACAAAATAAACCACAGAAATCAAGCAATAATAGAGAGCAAATTTCTCCCCAGATCCTGGCAGGGGAGTGAGATGATGTCTGCAGGAAAGGCACCTCCGATGACTACACAGCTTGGTCCCAGCAGCTCACATCTGCGGGGTGATCCAGGGCCACCACAGGGCCAGGACTTAAGGACTCCTGAAGAGCAGATGAGGAGCAGTATCTGTGTTAGGATGAAGGGTCTGAGATACCACCAGTGGGCAGTTCTTCTCTGCCTGCAAGCACAAGTTGCATGTGGGTCCCTGCAGAGCTGAGTTAGACATGATGCATGACCTGCACTCCACAGTATCCCCCAGGGGGATTCTCCCATACCTTGAGGACTACAGCTTGGCCCTGCTCTTGGCTGTGTAGGCAGGGCTGCTGTCCTGACTTGCAGCTCAGTCTTCACACCCAATCTGGGAGAGAAATCACTCTTCAATTGTTTCTCCTGAGAGTAGCTCCTATGGGAGCTGCTAATGCACGTTAATCTATGGGACTGGGGATCTTCACTGACAGCACTCAGAGGAGGAGAGTTTACATAAGAGGAACCACAGATCTCAGAAGAGAATAAATAAAGCACAGAGGAAGCAAGTCTGATTGTTTTTAACTGCCTATCTGCTAAAAGGCAGCGATTTGGAAATGTCATGCCTCATTTGAATGTTTGAATAATTCATTGTTTCTCTGTAGCGGAAAGTGATTGTTTGCTCCAAAAATAGGAGACATCCCATTAAGAGGAAGGGAAATTGCAATAGACTGGTAGCCATCAAAGAAATAACTGGCATGTTGCATTTCAAAGCCCTTTGTTCTGGCTGACTTGGGTGAGCCCGGAGGCTGGGCTGAAACACTTGAATGTTAATGTTGTACCCAGTGTAATTTTTGCAAGCAGATTTCCTGTTTTGCAACTTCAGGGAAGGATAAGCCTCCAAAATGGGGATAATAAATGTTATAGAAGAATGGAATAAGACCCCATTTTGTAAGGCTGGCTGGGTATTTTACTGTATTAAGGGAGAATAACCTTCACAGAGAAAACAATGGGTGACAATAGTCTGCTCATCTTGAAGGGAGGTCTGCAGGCTGATTAGGATTTCCTTTAATGAAAATTACTCCTAGCATTTGGGAAAAGAAACCCTTAACTTGATTCATTCCCGATGCACTTTAGTATTCAGCATCTGCAATGCAAATTTATGCATAATTGTGCTTGGACAACTACATGAGATAGCTGCCAGAGGTGCTTTGAAGCCTCACAGGAGCTTCCAACAAGTCTGCTTGAGCATGCAGGCTTTAGAAATTGCTTTCTTTGAGGCTTTCTCCGAGTTCCCTTTGCTAAGTCATTTGTTTCCTGCCAGTAAAAGCAGACATGAGATTCGATCAGGAGGATTTGTCTTTAGATCAGTTTGACCACTCGCACACATTTACCCCTTTAAAACCTTTCCAGGAGTGCAAAACACTCCTGGTTGTCACCGTTAGAAGGCCCTGTGGTTCTCAGTGTCCTGCTGTGACCTGTGCAGTATTTTGCCCCTCAGACTTTGTTTTCTCCTGCATGGCCTTAGGCAGAGAGCTGCCAATTGAATAGGTCTTGTCAGTGTCTAAGTTCTCCTCAGGTGGGAGATGGTGACCCCTGCGATGTGAACAAGGAAGGAAGCACAGTGATGCTTCACACTCTGTGTTCCAACAGATGTCATTAAATAACAAAGCAGCTGCCCCCTGAGGAGCTCAAATCATTTTGACATCCTTGTGGAGCTCAGGACCCAGCCCCTCTGAATAGACCCCCCATGCTTTTCTGTTGTGTGAGCTTTAACTGTGGGTCAGTAGATTATCTTGTAGTGTGCTATAAAGTGAAACAGCTCAGGTGACTAAGAGGAAATGCATGGGGCATGCATTGCCATTGTGTTTCTTTGTCATTTCGTGGCAAATACCAGCATGAGACACCTTTCATTTGTATTTGCTCCTTGGAGTTGCCCAGGACTTTGAAGACCCATCATTGTGAGTTTCCCTACAAATGTAAAATCGTTAAATAGAAATAATGAGGTTGCAGACTTACCTGGTCCCTGCTCACATGATATGAAAGGCGGTGATGTGTATTTTGAAAGGTGTTTGCAGGTTGCTTCTCATGTTTTAGGACTAATTACAAATAGTCCTGTTTCCCCTTTTTGATTTAACCTGATCTGTTGCTTTTGGCTTCAAGAGTGTTAAAACAAAGACCATCAGAAAACCTTTGTCCATATGATTTTCTCTATCCACCAGAAATGTGTTCTCCATGGGGGAACCCAGCAGGTTCAGACATTTGCTACCTTTAAAAGCTTATTACTTTTAGCAAGTCATCTTTGGAGCTGAGGTTTGATAATACCTTGTACCAGCCAGAAGTGCTGCTATGGACGCTTCCAGTGCTGACACCTTCCTCGCTTTGATAAGACACAGTCTATGGGGCAGATGTGCATTCAAGCCCTTTGTTTAAGCATTACCCAGCAGCTCTGTGTGTTGCATTGGCAACAGCGTGGTGAGCTCAGAGGATTTCTGTGCTGATGACAAGTCAGCATTCTAAGCTTGGGAGTCTTTGGTCTCTTTGTAGTGTAATTCCTTTGAGAAAGTGCTTCCTAACCCAAGAGCATCAGCGTGCTCGTTTGCACTCAGCACTGAACCCCCTTACCCTTGTTAGTGGCACATGCAGCGTGGGCCATCAACGAGGGCACTCATTACTGCTCTCCCATGGTCTGGCTGGGTGTCTAGCTGTGATCCTGTCCTGCTGGAGCCTCTCAGTCTGATCTGCAGATCAGAGCTCTGCAGGGCACCGTGAGTATAGGAGTGAAGTGCAGAGATTTGGAACTGCAGGACTCCAACAACCATTGCTGAACATGCGTTGGGGGTGCTTTAAGTGCATTTCAACTTCTGCTAAAGCTTCACAGATTTTTGTGGTCCCAGTAAAGGGCACCTCTGCTGACCTTGTGGCTGGAGGCACTGAAGTCCTGTGGAAGAGCAGTTGGAATTTTTTAATGTGAACAGACTGACCCAATTCCCTCACCCTTCTTCTCAGCGATGGCTCAACTGATTTCAGTTAATCTTTCCAAAACCACTCTGCCTGAGGCAAAGAGAAATAAGGCAGAAAGATGCTGGCAAAATGAGAAGGGGACAAAAGTATTTAGAATGGAAAGCAGTGATCAACAGTAGCCATCAGTCTCCAAGCCGCTCTGGTGTGTTGTACAGCTCCAGCTCAGCATGGGGCATGCAGATTTCAGTTGTGAAGGGCATTACAGTGGTCATGCTGAGCCTGCCTTTAAGGTCTTTGTCTTTGCAGACTGCTTGGCTTGAGTGTCACAGAATCACAGATTCGTTGTTCTGGGGATAGAATCATAGAGTTAGGTCTGTTGGAAGAGACCCTTAAGATCATCAAGTCCAGCTGTTACCCCAGGACTGCAAGGCCACCACTAAACTGTGTCACTAAGATTGTCTAGTGCAATCCTGTGCTCAAAGCAGGGGCAGGTAGAGCAGGTTCCTAGGACCATGCCCTCAAAGTAGAACAGTTGGTACTTGTATCTCAATGGAGTGTCCTGTGTTTTGAGGGGTTCCCGTCCGCCTCTTGTCATGGGACACCACTGAGAAGTGGCTCCATCTTCCTAACTTACGACCATCAGATATCTGTAGGTGCTGAAAAGAATCCTCCCTGAGCCATTTCTTCTTGAGGCCAATCAATCCCAGCATGGGGCCCAGCATGGCACATGTCCCTCCCCAGTGCTGAGCAGAGTGCTGCCAGTAGCCTGATGGCAATGCTCCTCCTAATGCAGCTCAGGACACTAGTGGCCTTTTGTGCTGCAGGGGCACATTGGTCTACACTGCTGAGAATCTGCCCTATGAAGATCTTCAGTCAATGAGAGGAAACAGAAACGACATTGGGACAACTGGGGGACACCCATCCTGTCACTGTTTTACACAACTTTTCCTCCAAGTAGTATTTTTACAGTAGGGAAGATGAGGATATGAGACTATGCAGTAAAAGAGGTGCATGAAAATCTGAAACTCATGACTGGGTAGGCTGCCATGTACTTCCACACTTCCTAGCTCAGCTTCTGCTTTCAAGCAGGCTTTGTTCAAGGTAAGCAGTTATCGGTGCTAATTGTACCCTTTCTCACTCAGGGAGAACTGACCATGACAAGCGACATGGAGAACCTGCAGAATGCCCTTTTCTTGGACATGGTGCCTGAGTCCTGGACAAAGAAAGCTTACCCTTCCACGGCCAGCCTGGGCTCGTGGTTTGCTGACCTCCTCGCGCGCATCAGGGAGCTGGAGGCCTGGACAGGAGACTTTTCCTTACCCTCCACAGTGTGGCTTGCTGGGTTCTTCAATCCCCAGTCTATCCTGACAGCTATCATGCAGTGCACGGCCCGGAAAAACGGGTGGCCTTTGGACAAGATGGCCTTGCAGTGTGACGTGACAAAGAAGAACAGGGACGATTTTGCCAGCCCTCCTCGGGAAGGGGCGTACGTCCACGGCTTGTTCCTGGAGGGTGCGCGCTGGGATGCACAGGTGAGCTCACCGAGGCTCTTGTGTTGAGCAACCAGCCATGGGAGTTATGTCCTTAATGCTTGGTGCTGTACTCGGGGGAACTTCTCAGCCCAGACAGGCCCTCACCTAAAATAGTCATTGAGCTGCTTCTTTAGGAATGGGGGTGATAGGAAATCTGGGCCTCTCCTCTGCAGCCTAGAGTGCGTGTCCAGGGTGGGCAGGTGAATCACCCCTTGAAGCTGCCTATTCCATGGCCATGAAGGGAGTTAAAGGTGGCCAGCTTGGACTGATAACCTAGTTCTTATAAACTGAATCTCTACCTATAGCTCTATGGTTCTGAGGATTTCCATCCCCTAGTTTGCCTGGGGTAGTTTTAGGGAGCTTTCAAGCCTGAGGCTCTTCAAGTCCCATTATTCCCCCAGGGTTCTGAGGCCACATTACCAAAACCAAGTAAACGTTGGTCATTGCTCATGGTGTTATTGCAAACAGAAAACATGGGGTCCTCTCAGGCCTGCATTGTCCCTGCCCCTTCTCATGGTCATGATTTCACTGCTACCTCCAAAAGTGACGTGGCAGACTTGCAGTGTCACTGCTCTGTCATCTGACCAGCAGTAGTGGAGACAAAGGAGAACACTCTGATTTTCTACATCTTCACATCCCCAGAGCTGACTGGGTGGGATGTGCCAAATGCAGGCTACTGTCCTTCCACTGCCAGGTGCTGCAGGATGCCATCTGTTCATTAGGGACTGTAGCGATAGGACGAGGGGTAAGGGGTTAAAACTGAAACAGGGGAAGTTTAGATTGGATATAAGGAAGAAGTTCTTCACTGTAGGGGTGGTGAGGCACTGGAATGGGTTGCCCAAGGAAGCTGTGAATGCTCCATCCCTGGCAGTGTTCAAGGCCAGGTTGGACAGAGCCTTGGGTGCCATGGTTTAGTGTGAGGTGTCCCTGCCCATGGCAGGGGGTTGGAACTGGATGATCTTAAGGTCCTTTCCAACCCGAACTATTCTGTGATTCTATGATCTGTGCAGATGGGGTTTGTGACCAAAAATTAATCACATCCTTTAGGCATCCCCTTAGGGTGCCAAGTAAAACTGGCATGAAGGTTTAACTGGTATGGTCAATGCGGACTCAAGCTGAGGACTCAGTGTAGGGGTAGGCTCACCCTGGGCAAGCAGCTCAGTATGGGTGGCTTTTTCTTTCCCCTTCTGGATGTGACCCAACCTTCAGTTGTAGCATAGCCAGCCTGAAGGCAGCCAAGGTGCGATCCATACCCACCAACCAGGCAGCTGCGGGAAGCTTCTACACTTGCTGTTTCCTGCCTCCATAGCTGTCAGCACTCCTGTCGCAGCATCCCAGAGGAGCACAGCTGTCCCTGTCATTCCCTGTGACAGTTGTCGGCTGTTAGGATTGCAGTCCTCAGACACAGAGCATTTAGGCTCACAAATCCCCCCTGGGCTTGGTCCTCCGAGTGGCCTGGCCTGTGGTACCAGGGCTCCCTGTTACAGTGATTCATGTGATTCATGCAGCACTTGCACTGGACAGCCAGTGAGGTGCTTCTGCTGCCAGTGGTCTAGGAGAGAGTGAAGGCTGATCAAAGTGGGTCACCCAGAGCTTACTTATCTGTGCAAAGGGTCTTACTTCAGAGGGCACTCTTAGGGTCTTAGCCTTGAAGCCCCTACTTTACCTGTTGGGGGGCCTAGTGGTAGGATGCTGAGAAGAGAAACTGTATGTGTTCTATACCATATCCCAGCTTGACCTTGCAATTTAGATCTAATATTGCCCACTTATTTTTCAGCTCCCTCTCTGCAATAGTTTTCCATGAAGGATAGGAAACCAGGCAAAGCTTTGAACCCACTGACTGATGGCATCCAGTGCAGTTTATCATGAATCCTTGTGAAAGTCGAAGCTCCAGGCCATTTTCTCTCTGGAAATGGGTTTACATGTACATTGGGTCTGGAAAGCCATGGGCAGTCAGGAGTACTGGCAAAGGCTCTGTCAGAACATTGCAGTAAAGTTCTCACATAGGTATCAGCTCACATCTTCTGTCTCTGTGGTTTGGGCTCTGCTAACATCAAAAGTCACAGTAGCAGAACAGGGACCAGCCCAGTCCATTTCCCAAGCCCTGGTGCTACAGTTCCCTGCCTATTCCCCTGTGTCATCCTTTGGTGGGGCTTCCATATGTACCCCCTTCCAGCTCTTGGACATCACAACACCTTGCTACAGGGAGCACTGGATTTCCGTTACCCTCAAAACCTGACTGCTGCGCACAGCAGTACAGGGAAAGGTTAGAAAAGTTCCTGGTCTTGCATGTAGAATACTCCATCAAAACCAAATCCTAGTGACTGGATTGCTTATGTTTTCCTTTACCATCGTTACCACCATTACTAGAAAATATAATGGTCAAATGGCTGAGTTCTGCCTCGGTTTTACCCATCCCCATGTGGAAGTGAAGAGCAGTTTTGGTGTGCAAAGCCAATCTCTTGGGAAGCATATGGCTCCTCCCCTCTGCCTCCCATACAATAACTAACTCATATGGGTGACTGCAGTCAGCAATGAGGTTTGTCTTTAGAGATCATCCAGACTTTATTTTCTGGTTACAATTTCCCTTGTGATGGAAAGATACTGAGCAGTCCCCTCTCTAGAACCATTCCAAATCTCTGGGTATCACACTTCAGGGTATGTCAGAGAAGAAAAGAGTATTTTCATATGTTGCTGCTGACACCGAGATCTCATTTCCACGGGGTGAACTATTCATTTGACCTGGAACCCACTGAGCACCAGTGTCTCTTAGTGGATGCAGCATTTGTAAACCAGGTTCACAGTTCTTTTGAGTTGTATACTCCTTCCAAATTCATCTTCCGCTGGCAATGGCAGGGCCTGTTAGGGAGGGCCCCTCTGGGGAGCACCTCTGCTTTTTAAAGGATATTTCACATTTAGGTTGTGCCTCCACAAAAGGAGCAAGTCCCTCCATGTGCTGCTGCTCACGTTTTTCTATTTATTTAAACATTTGTGTTTGCCCTGGAGAGTCTTAACTGTATAAAGCCTTCATTACAAAGCAGCAGGCAGCTGGTAGATGAAATGAACCAAGCAGGGAAGCTGGGCCCAAATGATGTGTTGCTGTAGCACTGTTAAAGTCAGTGGAACTCCGTGTGAGAGAGGTTGACCGGTGACACTGAGGCATTTTACCTGATTCCTGGCTTTCTTGCTCCCGGCAATGGAGGGTGTGATGCCAGGTATGTCCCCTGCTACTCCCAGGGGGTACTGGCACATGATAGTACAAGGGGAGAGGTGGGTTTTGCACTACATGGCTACATGAGGCTTTGCCAAGTGTACAGAGCACACCGCCTTGTCCTTGGAGGAGATGCCCATCAGTGCACAGCACTAAGCAGTGGCTTAACACTGAGGGTGTCCTGCCTCCTCCAAGCCAAGCCAGCTGCAGGTTCTGTGTGTTTTTTAAGGCTAATCCTACATAAAGCACGATCTGAAATCAGTGGAGAGGCTTAGAAGGGCAGATCTGTGTGTCGAGGAACCGTCCTGTTCATTTGATGGTTCAAGTAGCTCAAGATCTTTGGGAGCAGTTGCACATCACCCCTGTTTATCTGAGATGCTCCCAGAAGCGGATGCAGATGAAAACACGAGTGTGTAGCCCAGGCCTGGTACAGCCCGGTGCTGGTTCTCCAGTCCCAGACATCACAGTTCTTCTGCAGAGACACCAGGTACATCAGACTTCATCCACCAGAGACTGACATTTTCCCCAGAGGTTTCATGGGACACCATGTGAAGCCTTTTCTTGGAGATGTCAGTTGTCAGTAGGGCCCATGTATTTGTGAGCTGTGAGACAGAGTAGGATGTGGTTCAAGCTGAAGTCTCCAGTGATGAGCTTAAAACACAGGCTTGGAGGGGACACAAGTTGTGCTGTGAGCAGCCAGTCTCCTTTTTAGAGTTATTTTGAAAAATTAATAACTTAGCAAACCCTTTCCCATCTGTACCTCAACTTTGAAAGTTCTCCTCTCATTTGGCTTTACTGGACAGCACGTATCGTATCATATATCATATCATATCATATCATAGAATGGGTTGGGTTGGGTTGGATGGACCTTAAAGCTCCTCCAGCTCCAACCCCTGCCACGGGCAGGGACACCTTCCCCTAGAGCAGCTTGCTCCAAGCCCCTGTGTCCAACCTGGCCTTGAACACTGCCAGGGATGGGGCAGCCACAGCTTCTCTGGGCACCCTGTGCCAGCGCCTCAGCACCCTCACAGGGAAGAGCTTCTGCCCAAGAGCTCATCTCAGTCTCCCCTCTGGCAGGTTAAAGCCATTCCCCTTGGCCTGTCCCTGCATCCCTTGTCCCAAGCCCCTCTCCAGGTTTCCTGCAGCCCCTTCAGGCACTGGAGCTGCTCTCAGGTCTCCCCTTCAGGAGCCTTCTCTTCCCCAAGCTGACCCAGCCCAGCTCTCTCATTATCATCAGATCTTCTTCACTGCTTGTTCCATGTGTGGCTCTTTTTCTCATTCCCCGTGTCCAGCTGAAGCCATTAACTCCAGCAATATCTGGACCACCTTGGAGTGATGTTCCCTGCTGGCAGTACTGCTGGTCAGATCACCAGCCCTCCTTCCCTGCAGAGACACCTCTATCAGACAGAAAACCAAGCCATATTGAAGTCTTTAAGCTTACTGACCCTAAATTAGCCATGGTGCAAGTGTGCCTGTGCTGTAACACCTCCAGATGCAGTTGAGTGAGGATGCTGGCCTACTGCCTGTGCATTTGGGCCCATCTGTTAGCATCCCTGGCTCGTGACAGCTGCTTTGGCTCACTGGGCTCTTTGATACGTAGCAGTGTATCATGTCCACTCTTCAAATTGCCTGTTGAGGAGCCAGGACAAGCAGCAGTGAGGATTTGTTGAGGATGTGAGGCCTGAGCCCTGAGCACAGACAGTGGCTGTTCACCAGGTGTGCTGTGCCAAGCAGTGAGGGAAAATTGCTTTCAGAGGAAGATTAATTTTTGATGATGAGAGCGATAAAAAATGCAAATGCAAATCATCCCAGACATAACAAAGTGCTGTATTCCATAGAGAGAGCTCGGGAGGATTTCTGCTCTTCTTAACCCAGGAATAGGTGGAATATATCTTGAAAACTTGATTGGAGGAATTGTCGGGAGTAAGAAAAAGAGCTCAGATCAAAATCCAGCCTCAGGAATTCGAGGAGTGGGTTTAAAAAGAGCGTGTGATAAATGGCTTCTTTGCAGCATATTTCATGTTTGTTCAGCACGTTGTAAATAGAGAATCTGAAATCTGAGTTGGCTTTCTCATAGCTTAATAGAACAGATGGCATTAGTACAATTAAACCCAGGTACGTTGCAAGAGGGGTTCTTCTTCTTCTTCACTCATTTGCAGAACTAAACAAACAACTGGGAGATGTTGAACCTCATCCCACAGCTCTGATCTAAGAGCATTTGGAATAATACTGATATGTGAAACTAAGCTGCAGTTAGAGGCAGTTTATTGAGCACTGAGAAGTTTTATTTCCATACCTATATTGCTTTCATTTGGTCTCTCTCGCTTGCATTAAGCAGTTTTGAAAGCATTCCTGGAAAGTGATTGATGTGTAGGGCATTTTATTGTCAGAAACAGACCTGAGTTAGAGAAACAAGCCTTGAATTCATGCCCTGACAGCACACTGTCCTTCTCCTGGGTTGGACAGCTTGCTGGGTGAGAGCACTGCTTTGAAGGGGATAATATAGATGCATTATTTAATGCTGATATTCCCTAAGGAGCAATCCTTCTGAATCCCAATTGCTGGTGTGAGCACCTGAGAGAGTGGGGACAAGCCTGTGATGTTTTTGGGGGCCACACAAACCCCTGCTTGCATTCATCACCCAGGTCATGCTCAAATTCTGGTTGTGTGGTGGGACACTTACTCGGTGCCTTTTAGGCTGTTCTCAGTTGAGCCCTGTTGAGCTGTTCACAGTTGGTCTTAGCACAACCTGGCATAAGCAGCACTTCCCATGAGATTGTTCTGGGCTGGCAACACCTTGAGCAAGAGCTGCATGAGGACAGTGTGGTTGGATATGGCCAGGAACATTCCCCCACAGAGTCCTGCTCAGGTATGTGTGGGTTTGAGCATCTGATGAGACCAGGCATGAAGCTTGAAGGAGGCTTCTGATGGAACAGGGGAGGTGTTTGATCCAGACCCTCCTTAATTCAAGTAGAATTATCCCTCACCTTGATCTCAGGAAAGATGTCTCCTGCTCCCCAGTAAGACCAGCCTGTATAAGCACCACAGAGGATCATGTGGATCGGGGTACAGCTGATGGATGGCTTAGAAATCTAACTAAGACTTTGTCTTCTTGCCTTTGTAGGCTGGGATAATCACGGATGCCAGGCTCAAGGAGCTAACCCCAGCCATGCCCGTCGTTTTCCTCAAAGCCATTCCTGCTGACAAGCAAGATCTCCATAACATGTACCCGTGTCCTGTGTACAAAACACACCAGAGAGGGCCAACCTATGTGTGGACTTTTAACCTTAAAACTAAGGAGAATCCCTCCAAGTGGGTGCTCGCTGGTGTGGCGCTGCTGCTGCAGGTCTGATCCCCAGCAGGGCCCCTCATTGCAAAGCCCTCATGAGGTCTTTCTCAGACAACTTAAATAGGATCCTGAGGTTGAACCCAGGATTCACCTCTCTGAGCACTTGGGCACGTAGCTGAAATAGAACCTACAAGGAGGTGACAGAGGTGCAGGGGGACACATGGAGCAGATTCGTGGCTGCTGTCAATCACTACCCTGTAATCCCTACACTGGAAGATCCTAACCTGCAGCAGGATCTTCCACCCCCAGAATTAATGTAATGTTGATTTCTCTTGCAGGATGCAAAGTAGTTTTAAAGTGAGTGGCCTTCTCCAGACTCCTCAGATAGGCCAGGGACCTGTGAAATTCTTCAGATCTTATCCTTTTCTATACAGGAGTGTTTCTTTGTTATAGGTGTGATACCAGAAGCTGGGAGATCAACAGGTACTGTGGATGTAAACTGTTTCTTACTAATATTGCTGTAAATTTTAAACCCATTTAAAATAGTGTTAATATCCAGTGTGCTTCATGTAACCATCAATAAAACTACAGCGTTTCTAAAGCAGAAAGCACAGAGAGGATGCCTGGGCTGTGGGTTACCTGAATGAGCTGGACACGGAGAGCATTGCTCTGCACTGCAGAAGCTGAGTGCTTGCGAGCTAGGAAATGTGGGAAGCTGTGTTTGGTGGCATTGAATGGTGGTGCCATTGAAACTTCAGGACCCTGTTTCCAGGCCATTGTGAGGTTCATAGGGTGGGAGTTTACAGCCTGGAGAGACCTGCAGGTCTGGGCAAGTCACCTTTAGCTGCCCTGGTATTCCATAAGGGACTTGGTCCTCTCAGCTCATTCTGCACTGGTTGTCAGAGGGGTCTGATATGGCTCTCATTTCCCTGCTCTCACTGTGAAGAAATAGAGTGAGTGGCCTAGACCAAGATATTTAAGTTCTAGACTTCTTAACTGAGGTGAACCGGGTCTGACCAGCCTGTGGTATGGCCACTGCAACTGTGGGAGGAGGATCTACTTCCAGGTTAAAAATGATGCTTCCCAGCTGAGCTTCTAGCTCAGCATCATTGGAGTTCTTGTACACCATGAGGCAGGAAAGAGTGGTGGGTTGGCAAGGGCAGTGCATCCATCCCACCTCCAATGTCTTCTGGGTCACCCAGCAATGTATTTGCACCTGGGACAAGCAGCAGCAGAACAAGATGGTCCATTGGCCTGAAATGTAGCTGTGGAGCACATGCAGCACTCAGGCTGGTGGAGCGGATCATGGGAGGAAGATGGGTAAGAGGCTCATGTACAAACCACAAAGGGTATTTGGGGGTCACTTACTCTGTCTTACTGAGCCCTCTCTGACCTGCACCAAGTGCACCTTGGCCAACTCAGCAATGCTGTGAAAGGCTCTTCCAAAAGGAGGGCCAAGCCCATTGCTGTGTTTCAATGAGCAGAGCCCACCAGCATCACTTGGAGAGCTCCACAGACAAAGCTTCCCAGAGAAGCCTATAGATCAGAGGCTTCGAAAGACTGTTCCTCAGCCAGAGCATCCTAAAGAGATGGGTACACATGAAGTCCAACAAACAGAAAGCAAAAATCAAGGAAGCAACAGTGTTTTCCCCTCTGTGCTCTACTGTGCTCCATGTGTTGCAGTGCCTGGAAGCGTGGGTGTGTTGCATGTCACTGGGAGAAACTTCCTGGTAGTTGCATGGGTTGTGGAGGGCTTGATGTAGAATGGGTAACGGATAAGAAGAGGGCTGCTCTGTGATCTGAAACCTATCCCTGGCAGCAGCACGTGTGGGTGCCTGGACATCACTTGTCCCTAGGTCAGTTCAGTTGAGAGAAGGCAGGTCCTTATTGAAGACCATTCCTGGCAGTGCCAGGCCAGCAGCTGTCGTGTCCCTGGGATCTGGGTCTTCACAGGGACATGTGCTGAGGCCAGGCCCTGAGATGGGGCTTGGAGCAACCTGCTGTAGTGGAAGGTGTCCCCCATGGCAGGGGATTGGAACTGAGTGAGCTTTAAGATCCCTTCAGCCCAAACTGTTCTATGATTCTATGGTCCTGCCATACCCCAGGGAGCTCCCTGGAGGCACCACAGCCGGTCCTTTTGTCACTGTGTACCTTGTACCACCACCCTTCCCTGGGCTGCTGTGAAATGCTTCTGATGCTGTGTTCAGAGCAGCTCTGCACAGTCCTCATGCCGTTCACTTCTGGCTTTGCGTGAAACTCTTTATCTCAACCCATGAGTTTCTGCACATTTACCCCATCCTGGTGGGAGTGAGTGAGGAGCTGGGTGTCTGGTGCTTGGCTGCAGCTGGGATAAAACCATGACAGCATTTCTGTGGGCAGTGCATGAAGCTGGACAACTTCATGGGTGGCTTCAGCACGCACTGATGGGGACATGGTCAACTCTCTGCCCATCCAGTGCATCACAGTTGTTCTCTTACCCAGAATAATGCAGGAGGGTGAAGTCCTCAGGCTTTACCTCCTCAGGACATCCACAGCAACACTCATGGTCTGAGCATGATCCTTCAGGAATCATCTTGTCTTTGTACTCCTGGAAAACAGCAACTATCCAAATGAAGGTGAGCTGGGAAATCTTTCAGGTACGGACCTGGTTTCATTGGAGGCAGTGTCTTGGAGGCACCAAGAACTAATGGTGAAGCAGTGAGTTATAGCTTAGCAGGGCACATCTGCAAATACGTAATGCAAAGGATACAGCTGTCCTAAACTTCTATTTTAAAATGCCTCTTAACTCATAAATGAGGCACCAGATTCTGCAGGCTATGCTATAGAACAGTGTCTGGCTAGAGGAGGGCTGATAGCTAGGGAAAGCTATGCTAGTAACTTAAATCCCTCCCAATTTAAATGATGCCAATTAGATATGAATGTAAACCGGTCGCTTCCCTCAGCTTTGCATGTTTGATAGCATTAAATTCTCCACGTGTTTCACCATGCAGGAGCTTCAGTTGCATAAATAGAGCACTGCTGAATCTTAGAATCATAGAATAGTCAGGGTTGGAAAGGACCTTGAGATCATCCAGTTCCAACCCCCTGCCATGGGCAGGGACACCTCACACTAAACCATGGCACCCAAGGCTCTGTCCAACCTGGCCTTGAACACCACCAGGGATGGAGCATTCACAACCTCCCTGGGCAACCCATTCCAGTGCCTCAGCACCCTTACAGTAAAGAACTTCCTCCTTATATCCAATCTAAACTTCCGAAACACGTAAAAGCAGGACCAGAATGTGGAGTTAAGTGCATCATGCTCCAGGTAGCATTGCTGGATTAGTGCTGCTTTGGTGTTTCTTCAGTGCTTCTTTTAGCACAAGCTTCTCAGTGCTCGATGTGGGCTTCCTGCCGTTCTGGTGACTGTTACTGCCCTAAACTTCATGCTGTTTCTCTTTTAAAGCCCCTCTTTCTTTCTCCAGCGTTCCAGGGCCTCTCTCTGCTCAGTGCTGCCCTCCAACGTGCCCCATACCTACCTACCGGCAAAGAGACGTTCAGTAGTTCCCCAGGCATCACTCGCTCTTTCCAGAGCAACAGCCTGGCTGTTCCCTTGCCAGCTGAAGAACGGGACGTTGACAACAAAATGGATCCGATTGTTTTATTATAGAGATCTTCCTGCATAATTCACCAGTTGGGCAGGCAGGGTGGTGGGGAGATATTTATAGATACTAGAAATGTCACCAGGGTGCTCATTCTTCATCCTTTGAAAAGCATCCCAGGAAAGAGTTGGCTGCAAAATGCTACGAGGGGATGGTGAATAATTTGGTGCTTTAGGGCAAGAAAAAGACCTGACAGGGATGAGATTTTCCATCTCTATCTGCCTTACCCAGGCAGTTAAATACAGCTGGCCAGGCTGTGCATTAGGAGAGATGGATGTGTCAAAGGTGAACGTGTCTGGGTGTGAGCTCTTGGAGATAGGTGCCCACTTGGCATTTCCTTCCCGTTCTTCGCTCATTTGAGTGGAAGGGTCTGAGCATTGAAAAGCCCTATCCCCAAAGCTGGCACAGACAGCACTGGGGCTCTGGGGCTGGCAGAGCTGCAGAGCTTTGTACAACATCCAAGGCAGATCTGAGGCTGATCTGGAGCAGGGCAACAGGGCAGGGTAGTTGGGCACAAGAGAGGTGTCATCATCTGCGCTCATCTGTGAGCATGTTATAGTGGAAAGAAATAGACTCAAGTAGCAAGTCACCCATCTGACCCATCTTAGTGATACCATGGTGGGATCAGGATCTGCCAAAGTGCCACGAGTCTCTTTGCCACATGGAGCTCAGGAGACACCAGCTCAGCTTGAGATGAGAAGCTTTCTTACATTCAAGGTCAAGCCTATGTGTCCTTCCCTTTTGCCCTGTCCCAGAGTTCAGCCAGATCCTGCATCCTGTGTTTCACATGCGAGGCCAGGTACTGGATGCCCAGGGGAGCCCAGATTTGCTCTTCCCCTTTCTGTGGATCTCTGCAGCTGCTGACCCTGCACAGCACCCTGTGGTGCTGCTGTGGGCCTGGCTCTTCACAAGGTCTGTGGTCAGTCAGCTAACTCCAGACTGGTGACATTTTCCAAAGGGATGAAAGTGAAAGAAGGAAAATTGTGCTACTGAAAATAGTAGGAGAAACTGATGGGGAAACGGCCTTTCCATAGGCTGGGAGTGCCGTACCTGCTGCAAGTTATAATTGGCAGAGAGCACACTTCAAAGTCTTCAAAACGCCTTTGTAATGGTGTCCCATACTCAGGGGTTAACCAGCTCCATTCTACTCAACAGTTTCTCACAGAGCAAAGGAAAATGAACACAAAACATGTCAAAGGAGAACCTGGTTGGTAGTACGAGAGCAGTTCGCCAGAGCACATTTACTGCCTCTATTATTAGGCATTGGCAATGCCCAGGATGCAAATTCTGCCTGTATCACTGCTGTTATTTACAGAACTAAACTCGCTGGATCAGCTGGATAAGCCAGATGCATTCATGTTCTAAAGTGGCATTAATAATATTAGTAATGGCTTACTGGAGTCTTGTCCATTCTTACACATTGTTTTTAAAATGACTGTAATTGCCCAAACAAATCTCCAAATATATTTACCTTGGTAATGGTCGTGGACCAGGGTCTTTGTGACTGACCGCTCAGGGCTGGAGAAGCTGCAGGGATTTCTTCTTAGCCCATAGAACTGATCTGGTCCTGAACTAGTCCTGGGGAGGGCTGGAGGCTGAGAAGCAGTGAAGCATCATCCTTTCCTTCCAGCACAAGGCACAAGCAAAGGCCAAAACCTTACAGTTTAATATACCAGCTGCTTGGCAAGAACCACGTCCATTGCTGTTGCTATGCTCCTTTTGTCCACCACGAGTTTCCATTTCCTAACTCAGTGGTCCTAAGCTGATGTGGGGTTTTACCTACCATTGTTGGCATCTGGAGCACACCCCCACTGTCAGATCTGGACCTTTAATTCAAACTTGCATTAAACCACTGGTCCATCAATCTACTGTGGACAAGAGCTGCACGTTCCTTTCTGTGGGTTGTGGTTCTCTGCACTGACAGTGCTGAATATCAGGGTACTTAACTCCAGATGCCCACATAACTC